ACACCAGTGAGACAAAAAACCTAACTGTAAGACAAAAAATCTGGACAAGGTGATTAGAAAGTTGGTCTGAAACATTAAAACAACAGAATTTTATTTTGATGAAAAACTTGAGTTACAGTCATCCAGTAAATGAAGAGCAAACACTTCATTTTCCTATCTCATAATGCTTAAGAAAAACATTAGTAAATATCTGTGAACAGATTAAGGGTGAGGAAGACTGGATAATAAACCACCTCTGATTCAGTTTCTGCACATGACTCACTCTCAAAGGATGAAACAGCACTAGAAATAACCAATAACCAATAAGATATGAGCACTGAATCTCATCCTAATTATTCAAATAAGCCCAAGATAAATACCATTTCTTCATCACGATCAGCAAACTGTAGACATTTTACTGAAGGAATACTTTGATGGCAGCACTTATTTAAGTTATACATCACAACTCTAAAATGGCTTGAACAGTTCCATTTAACCACCATATATAAAGTGCAACTATATAGTATACCGCATTTTATCTGGGGTGTGATGAGTATCAGTCTTGCTTGAAAGCACCCCCGCTGCCAATTTCCACTTCGGAAAAGACCCATATGTGTGAAAAAGGACTGTCCCCCATACAAAGAACCGATTTCACAAACCCACTGGTAAACAAATAACATTTTTATAAGTGGAACCTCAGGATGCTAGACTTAATTTAAAAAAACCATTCAGCTACCTTTGGACTTTACAAAATCCTACACTGTAATATCCTAAACATATGCATCTCACAATGAAGAAGAGTGGCCTTGCAGTGCAGATGAAGAGACTGGAAGAGTAGCATGCTATGGTTTCAAGAACAGCGTCAGAGCACTGGATTCTGTGCATCAGGATAGAGGTCATTGTTGCCAGAAGAGTGGATGGGGAGGATATCCAGCTCATCCAACTGCACAGTTGGGTGCGTCTGGTCCTGGGGAATTTCTGCAGTAGCTATGCCAGGTTGATGATAGATTTACTCTTTACACGCTGAAAGTCTACATGCTGACTTTTTCCTTCTTTTCACTGGATATTCGAATTAAGGGTCTTTGGACATAGTTGTAAATGACTTCTGGGTGGCCTCCGGGCCTTTACTCTTTCTTCGTACATAGGATAACCTTCTATTCCAAATTTAATCTTCTTAAGACCCCTCTCCTTGACTAATTAGGCCACATCTCTGTTTTCAATGTACTTGAAAAATCTGTAGAATTTTGTTCTGTAAATAATTTGGGAATATTCTTCTCCCATCTGTGGTGCACACTGTTCATCCCAGTGAACTACGTCATCTTCTGTGAGCACCACTATATGGCATTCTCGTTCCCCACTCTGGGCACTAGCTACCATGGGAGGGAGGATCATTTCTTCCAGATAAAATTCAAGTTGTCTACGAGCACCATCATTTGATAGCTCATGCACATCAGAGCACTGAGATATCTACATTTAATAGTATTATTTTCAAAAGAAATACAGGAATAATTGCTTGCTTCTCTCAGCTCAGGAGCAGCTATGCCATCAGGACAATGAATAATTCCTGTCTTATAGTAATCCAGGATAGCTCGAAATGCAGAGGAACCATCCCTTCTGCCACCTCATACTCTCCTCATCAGGACCTGTAAAGTCATGTTCTCAGCCAGATCCAAAAATCATTTTGAGCTCCTTCTTTTGCATTTTCATATACAAGTACCATCTCTCCAGTTGTCTTACAGCTACTATCTGAACTTGACTGACTACTGTTTCTGCTGATGTTCCCAGCAAGGCTAGCTGAGCCATTTGGAGATGTTTTTTGAGGACGAGGGCTGCTCGGATGAGAGGAATTATGATCTTTTTCTCTTTCAACATGGTGCTGCCATGTTGGAGAAGTAGTATTTCTACTACAAGGAGTGAGTTAAGACTCTGTTCTTTCATGGGATGAATCTCGTGATCTGTCACTTGACCTTCGTCTGTCTCTCGATCTCTCCTGTCCACCACTAGCACCATGTAGACTCATTTTGGTTTGGTCTGCTCCTCTTTTAGCAATTCGTGAGGAAGTACTGTATTTCCCCTTCAAAATAAAGGCTAAAGACAAGGCTCCCTTCGCTCCCTCCTCAACCGGAACCCACCAGTGGTGGCCGTGGAGGAGGCCACTCCCAGGCAGCGGTGGCACCTACCAGGGCCACGTGAGCACGTTACAGGCCAGCGCCTGGACCTCTAATTTTAGTTCTTTGAGAAATCTCCATAGCGATTGTACTGCTTCACATTCCCATGACCAATTCAGAAGTTTTTTTTTTTTTTTTCCCCCCTGCAGCTGCACCAGCATTTGTTATTATTTGATTTCTTGATGGCTGACATTCTTTCTGGTGTAAGATGAAATCTCTGCATTGTTTAATTTGCATTTCTCTAATGGCCAGATATCTTGAACATTTTTCATATGGTTATTGGCCCATTTATATGTCTTCTGAAGAGTATATATTCATTTTACTTGCATCTTTTATTTGTTGAGGGGGTCTAATTTTTTTTAGTTCTTTATGTGTTCTAAATACTAGTCCTCTGTCTAAGGAATATCTGGGAAAAAATTTTCCCATTCTGTAGGTTGTCTCTACTCTGCTGATTGTTTACTTTGTTGTAATAAAATATTTTAATTTGATATGATCCCATTTGTTGATTCTTGCTGATATTTCTTGTGTAATTGGAGTTCTATTCAAAAAGTCCTTGCTTATACCTATGACTTCAAATGTTTTGCCTATTTTATCTTTCAGTAGAGTCATTGTTTCTGTTTTAATGTTTAGGTCTTTGATTTGTTTTAGTTTGACACATAATGAGAGAGGTGGATCCAATTTCAATCTTCTGTATGTAGATAGCCAGTTTTCCCAGCACCATTTGTTTAATAGGCTATCTATCCTCCAGTGTATGTTTTTGCCCTCTCTGTGGATGGTCAAATGGCTGAATGTGTCTGGGGATGTTTCTGCATCCTCTGTTCTGTTCCATTAGGTCATTTGCAATCTGAAGCAGTTGATCCATTGTTAGCACAAAGTCAATCCATCTGGCTGCACCTCAGATCCCCATGCACCAGATTCTTACGAGGAATGCAAAACCTAGATCCTTTGCATGTGCTGTTCACATCTGTAGAATTTTGTTCTGTAGAATTTTGTTTGCACTCCTATGAGAATCTAATGCCTCTGCTGAACCGATAGTGGGCAGAGCTCAGGTGGTAATTGGATCAGTAAGGACATGCTATAAATACAGTTGAAGTTTTGGTAGCTTTCCTGGTTCCTAATAGGCTATAGACCAATACCGGTCTGTGCTCCGCGGGCTGGGGGCCCCTAATTAGTGAATTTGAAGATCTAAAGAAATGATCAGGATGCTTTCACAATATGCTATGTTAGGTACTTTGACATGATTTGTTTTAAATATCTGCAGGCCTTCTATATGTGGCCAACCCCACCCCCTGCACATTAAATACTATCTCCCCCTTTTTAGGACCATATATAACAAATCAGTTACTCCCCTTCTGTACATTTACTTTATCCCCCTCCTCCATTGTAATTCTAACCAATTTTTAAATAATGTTAAGAACTTAATAAAAATGAACTTAATAGTCAAGAATGAATCACTGAGAGATGAAATGGTAAAATAGGAAAGAAGGGTAAAGGTACAATAAGGATAAAGAGAAAAATTCTAAAATATATGAGCTGGATTTCCAAAAGGACAGGAGTGAATATGGAAGCCCAATATATCCCAACAGTATAAATAAAAATGATTCCACATCTAATCACATCATAATTAAGTTACATAACACAATAGGAAAAAAAAAGGAATCTTACTGCAAACTAGGTAAAAAAGACTAATTGCTGTCAATGACATTAGACTGACACGTGAGTTTCTAACAGCAACAATCAATGAAGGGCCACAGTTATGCTGCTAAGAAGCAGAAAAGGCAGGTTTTTGATGCAGAGAGTATAATTTCAGAGCCTAAACTCTGAACTGTACTGCCTTCTGAGTGTACTATAAGGGCTCGGTGGTTTAGGGAAATATCGCAAATCAAATTGAAACAAAAAGATGCTGCCCAAATTATTCAAGAAGGCCGAGTGTTCATAAACTTATAATGTGCACTGTGTTGTCAGATAACAATCCTCCCATACTCCTGGTACCCCCAAGAGTAATCTGGTGAGTATTTTTCCTTCCCCAAATCAAGCTGGAGCAGATAATGGGGCCCTGGCCATAGTTATAGAAGGTCTGAACGGAACCATTAAAAATAATAGCCGTATACTCCTGCAATTTTCAACATTCTGTGAACTAGGTTTTAAGTATTATTTTGTTAGTCTTTTGGAAAAAATAGTAGCTCTTTTCCTGCAGGTGAGATTATTATATGTTTCAAAACTGCTTTCTATTTTGGGCCCTGGCTAATTGCCTAATTGAATTATAATTTCATATTACATTTTAAATTCAATTTTATTAATATTAACAAATATTTTATTAAGCACGTTGGGGATTTTTGTAATAAAGACATGGTGAGGTTTTTATAATAAACTAGGAAATATTTCAAACAAAATATTTATTTGCATAACATGTATCTAGCATCTATATTAAATGTTCAATTGGCCAAAAATCAATGACTTACTATTTCTTCACCCTCCTCTACATAATAAAAGTTTAACTTGAATTCTTCATTTTTCATCTTATGTTTTATGATTGGGCTGTATTTGGATTTTACCATATATTTTTACTTTTATATGTTAGTAATGTTTTTAAATAGATAATCTTTATTTAGATCTTCAAATGTTTGCCATTTCCTCTCCTCATTGTTATGCGTGCAGCTTGATCTTCCTTTATAGTTTCTGTCCCTTCTTCCTGAAGTTCATCCTCTATACACAGGAAGTTTTCTATAAATAACTGAATATATGAATTTAATCAAAAGAAAACAGTCCAAATTACTTAAGATGTCTCGTCTGTGTATTAGAGTGGTCATCTTGCCTCATTTACCAGAAGATAGGATACCTGGTCATTCGGGCATGGGATATAGAGCGCATTACCTGGTTTTAGTCAGAACTGTGAATCAGGAAGCGTAAAGAGAGACCAGGTCCTAGGCACTCTCCGTTCTTCTCTGTGATTCTGTAAGATTCTGTTTCTAATATCAGGGCCTGCTTCCCAGTGCAAGCTTCTGGCCTCCAGCTTCCTTTTGTTTCATGGCTCGATCAGCCCAAACGCCAGCTCATGCGGGAAGAGAACCATCTCCCCCGGCTGTACTCAAGGCAGGGTAACGGATGAGTGTGTACACTTGGACTCACACCACCTCAGACCTCATGCCCTCTCTGCCGCTTCCCAGGCATGTCAGATGACCTTACTTTGACTCAGTTTCTCTAACTGTGAAAAGAGGACAGTAAGGGGACATTTTGGTTGTTGTCTGCAGGCCTGTTCGGCCTCTCAGTCCAAGTGGTGCCAAAGCAGGAGGAGTTCCTCTACAGTAGACTTCTGCATGTGGAACTGCCCGCTGGAGCCACTTCCTTGCACATCTCCTTTATCCTTCAGAAGGTTGGGGGCCCAGGCTCATCCTGAATTCTAGAATGGTATTTGGGTCACAGAAGTAGCAGTCTAGCACTGTGTCATTTTCTCCAGCAGCAAGTTTTAAAGAGACCAAACTGGTTATGATCTTCCGTTAAAGAAGACAAACTGGATGGTGGAAAAAGAGTCTGTCTAGAATAAACCTGAGAATGAGCAGGTAGAGATACAGCAAGACTTTGGAGGCAAGTTGCATCCATCTCCAATAAATACTGATGGGAAAAAACAGTGAACATAAGAAAATTAGAAAAGTCTTTCCTTTTCTCACAGACTTTATTTCTCTTAAGGCAACACATTTTTGAAATTTTCACTTCAAAAGACAGCTTAGGCTTAACTATGAGGGAAGCTATGTAGAAAAGAATCAATTTTATAGTTTGAAAGTCCTGTAGTAGAGCTAACTCCTTGTGATAATAGCTCTTGTAAATCAGTGTGGAAATGCTTTTCTACCTTGTCTAATAGCGGAATATTCCCCACTGGAGAAAAAAGAATTTACTGAATGTGGGCAAACATTTATTCACATGCGTTGTCTCATTAAACAAAGAGGCAATGCTGAAGAGACACCCTGTGCTCTTAAGGAATATTAAAAAGCCATTAGCTGGATGACGGATCTCATTGAGCAATAGAAAATTCATACTGGAGAGAAACTACAGAATGTAGCATAGCCTCATTGAATATTAACATTTGATACTGGAGAGATAGCTTTGTGCTACTCGTGATAAAATTGTCTCTCAAACTTTATCCCTTGTTCTGCATCTGAGAGGTCATACACAGAGAAGCCCTATAAATGTAAGAAATGTGGAAATATCTGCAGCCAAAAGTCAATCCTCATTCATCAAAAAATTCATACTGGAGAGAAATCTTTTGAATGTGGTAAAGCTCCCATTCTGATGTCACACCTCAGCCAGCAGAGAAATTGTAGTGGGGGAAACCCCTGTGCCTGTAGGTATGTGGGAAAATCTTCAGCCACAGATCCAGTCTCACTGAGCATGAGCTTTTTCATACTAGAGAGAAACCTTTTGAGTGTAATGAATGTGGGAAAGCCTTTAGCCAAAAAATAGTAAATCATTAAACATCAGAACACCCATACTGGAGAGAAGCTTTTTGAATGTAATGATTGTGGAAAATCTTTTAGCCAGAAGAAAAACCTCCTTACCCATCAGAAAATTCACACTGGAGAGAAACTTTTGAGTGCAGAGATTGTGGGAAAGCTTTTATTCAGAAGTCAAACTTCATCAGACACCAGAGAACTCACACGGGAGAGAAGCCCTTCATATGTAAGCAGTGTGGGAAAAACCTTTAGTGGCAGATGAAATCTTACTGAGCATAAGAAAATTCATATTGGAGAGAAATCCTTTAAATGTAATGAATGTGGAACAGCTCTTGGCCAGAAATATCCTATAAAGCATCAAAACCTTCACTGGAGAGAAACCCTGTGAATATAATGAATGTGGAAAAGTCTTTTCTCAGCGAACATCACTTACTATGAATGTGAGAATTCATTCAGGTGATAAACTTTCTGAATGCAATGCATGTGGAAAAGCCTTCTCTCAGAGTTCATCCTTCACTTTGTATGTGAGAAGCCATACAGGTGAGAATCCCTGTGGTTGTAATGAATGTGGGAAAGCTTTCTCAGATTTCTCAACCCTAGCCCTACATTTGAGAATACACACAGGTAAGAAGCCTTATCAATGTAGGGAATGTGGGAAAGCTTTCAGCCAGAAGTCACACCACATTAGACACCAGAAGATTCATACTCATTAAAATACATGTGAATATCTTCAAAATGGGAAAACGAGCACCAGGGATTTGTATCTCACAGTACATCTGAAATATTCTGAACCAAAGCACTGCAGGTGGGGTGAACTTTAACAAATGCTAAAACTTACAGGACATTAACTAGATTGTACTGAAAAAAAAAAGACATTTGTATGATGAAGAGACTGCCAAGGAGACTACAGCAAAGGTAATATTAACTTTAGACGCATTTCCCTAAAATTGGGAACAGGAAACAGAGGCCTGTTACTGCACTCAGCATGTCTGGAGATCTTCACCAATATAAGAAAAGTAAGGGGTAAGTATTAGAAAGGAAGAAGCAAAAATATATGATCATCTACAGATAAGCCTTTGTGACAGCAACTCAGCAGAGCAGAGCAGATGATTCCAGAGAGAGACCTGTGCATTTATTCAAATTTGGAATATGAAAGAGATGGCATTAGGCGATGAGGAAATACTAAGACTTAAAAAAATTGTTTGGAGGTAATCTCTGAGGCTGGAGAATAGACCATGGATTATACAGAATAATAAAACACCAGGGACTGAAGACAGGATCATAAAAAGCCAATATTCTAAAATTGGTTATGCTCTTGGGAGTAGGAAAACATTCCTTGTAACAAATTCAGAAATACATATAGTTTTACTTGTATGTATGCTTCGGAAATGTGTAGTAACCTGATATTGGAAATAATTTAAATGTCCATCTGGAACAAAATGGAAAGTTCTTATTATAGAATACTACACATCTATAAAAATGCAACAGATGAGAGCCATATGTTAATGGAAATACCTAAAAAATGTTGAGAGGAGAAAAAGTTGCAGAATGATGCATATAGTGCAATGACTTTTTGTAAATTTGAGTTATAAAAGTTTTTTTGATGTTCAATACTTTATATTGCTAATGCAGATACATGCATATGTAAATGCTTTTGAAGTCAATTGGAAGGATACAAACCAAAACTCTTTTGAGTTTTTGTTTGTTGTTTGATTTTTGGTACTGGGGACTGAACTCACGAGCATGCCCTCATGAGGCAGGCGTGGTGCCACTGAGCTAAATCCCTGGCCACAGACCAAAGTCTTGGTGGTGTCCTGTGCAGAGTGGAGAAGGGCAGGGAATGCGTGGGGAGTGGAGGTGGGGAGGGGCTTAATCTTTTTATATAAATATCCATTTCTCTTAAAAACTGCAAGGAAATATATGAATTACTAATTCTGCATTGTGGTAAAAAAATAAAAAGAGGACAATAAGGTATCCATATCAGAGCTTTGTTGTCAGACATGAATGAGAGAAAAACACAGAACAGGGCCAGCACCTGTCAACGCCTGAAAGATGGTAACTCTCTGGTTGTAACTCTTTATCTGTGCCCCTTCTGAGCTCCATCTCTTTCAATGGCTCTGGACGCTGGGCCCAGGTGTGATGGTTCAAACTGGGACAGTGGGTGTATAGGCCCATACAGACTACCAAGGGTCTTTGTTCATGACATATTCAGGATTTTCCTCTGTGCTTAAAACTAAGCTGTCCCAAGATCATACTCTATAGGGAGGTATCTTTTCTTTTAGGATTAGGAAAAGTTTGTAGAAAAGTTCTTATTTTAAATGGAAATGGTTCCAAAAATTGATTAAATACCTGATATCAATGTCCTCTAAATACCTCATATCAGTGTCCACTATATCTAAAGCTTTAGTGACACGCCCAAAATCTTTCTTAGAATTCGAATCCATTGTCACAATGCTTTGAACCTATTCTTTCACTTGGTGAACCAGTCATGAACAAAGGTATAAGAGTTTAAGTGGCACCTACAGATCTATTCTTTGTTCTTTCTAGTATGCACAGAATTCCTGTCCAGATTCTACAACTCTCTGATAGCCAGAAGAGTTACCTTTTCCCTGGACACCATAGAAAAAGAATTAATCAACTTTTGCTTAGATGTCAAAGGAAAAGAAAACCGTCTGGTATGGTAAATCTTCACCTTTCATTCTTCTTGTGTGCTTGAAGAAAGCTGCAAATGGTCCCGTTCCCGTCTTTAACTTGTCCTCCTGTTTGCTTTAAGCGCTTCACTGTGAACAGCAAGGAGAAATCAGTCTTTTCCAGGGAAACATGGCCCTGTGTATTTTCACCCTGAATAAGTGATTCATTGTGCTTCTTGTGTAAATCACAGGAAAATAGCTTTATATTTTCTTACATGAAAAAATGACAATACTGAATTTCTAATGAGAACTTATTGTTCTGAATTATGAGTGGTTTAGATTTTCCATATGTTACCAAGTCAAGTTTATCAAAACAATTTATGTTATCATTTACACAGTTATATTTTCTAATATTGTATTTAGATGGTGCTTGCTCTGTTTATAAATATGGCTTATTTCAGCATACTATTTTACATTATTCAGGACTTTTTTTTGTTGTTGTTGCTAGGAATGAGTTCTATCACTTAGCTACACCTTCAAGCCCAGGCTAATTGATTTTTGCCTAAAATATTACATTGAATTTGTCAGTTAAATATGCATTGTTGATCACCGTCCACTGATACACTGTACATTTCTTGCCATTTATTTGTGCCATCACATTTTATGTTTACTTGTAAAATTATTAAGTCAGGTACATTGAAAGACAGCACTTCTTCATGACAGGGGAGTCAAAAGGCTGGATTTTATAATTCTGTGTTCTGTTTGCTACCTGAGCAGCCTTAGGTTGGCTAGGTGCGACGTGGGGATAATAATAGTGTTGCCGTGAGAACTAAGTGGCTGTCTTTGAAGCAGTGAGAGCGACCGGTGCACAGAGAGAACCCTTAAGTAAGCATGAGCTCTTCTCACCAGCCCTTCAACATCAAATGTCCCTAGGTCCTTCTAATTAGGATGCTTCCAGAATGGAGTCCCTTATTTTCTGGTATCTTAGTCAGCTGGGGTGGAAATTCAATACTTCAACTCTGCAGACTGGGTTACACGTATTCTCTATACCTGTATTACTTGCTTTTTTATTTTTGTTTATAGTCTTGGGTGTTGAATTGTCTTCATTCTCTTTCAGTGCTATTATCTGGGAGCCACAAAAGATGCAGCCACCAAGATCCTAAGTGAAGTCACCCGCCCCATGAGTGTGCACATGCCTTCCGTGAAGATTTGTGAGAAGCTGAAGAAGATGGACAGCCAGATCTGTGACCTGAAATATGGTATAAAAGAGCCAAGTATTTTTCCAGTCCAATGTGTTGGCAAACTTCGAAACATGGCACCACATTGTCTGAAAAGTCAAGGTTAAACGGAAAGGGATTCTAGACGGATGTGGTGGTGCATGCCTGTGACCCAGCACCTGGGAGGCTGGCTCACAAGGATCTCTGTGAGTTCCAGGGCAACCTAGGCTGCACAGGGAGTTCAGGATCAGCCTGAACTACATATCATGACCCTGTCTCAAAAGAAAAATAAAGGAGTAAAAGGAAAGGAATCCTGCACTCACTGATTGGTTGCTGGGATGATAAATGCTACCTCTTGTCCTCTGAGCAGCATCTTTGAGGGAAGAGAAAGAAATAGTTCTAATCAGCCTTAGGATAAAATGGCAAACCCCAAAAGCAAAGTTTAAATTCCTAGTTTATCAAGGTGTAATCAGCCTTGAATCTGAAGAAAATTTTCGGGACAGAGTGCAACTACTCCTGGTAATATAGTTCATGGTAACTTATTAAGACAAAACTTGAATCTATTAAAAGATGTCAGTGGGACTTTCAAGTTGTAAGTGTGACTTTTTCTTCCTGGGCATGTTTACTAATGTGCCAGTTTTAAACTTTAGGAAGTAGGTTATTTATGTCAAGTCAAGTTCCACCTGATGAAACAGCTCATCAGAGGTGCCTAAAATAACCTGCCAGGATAGGAAGGAGAAGCCCCATTTAAAACATCACTCCTGGCCTTATAAATTTCGCACAGTGAGATCTATTCTTACATGGCAGGTTTGTATCCAGGCCAGCCTTTTGGGTAGATTGGATAGGTATGACAAAAGGCCGGGAAATTCTTCTTTCAGTTCACCGGAAAATCCACCAAGAGAGACACAATTCTTTTGCTTAAATCATTGTTTTATGTTACACACCCAGTGTAGTATTATAAACTACCAAAGTAATTAGTATCCATCCCTTATTATTTTAGTTTTTGTTTCCCAGCACAGCTGTGTAATATGCCTATCTGCCCCACAACTACCTAGTTAACTTTAAATGGGTTTAAATTTGGAAGGAACCAAAGATACTGTTTCTCAATTTGAGAAGCACTGGCCATAAATTCAAGGGAAGTCGTTATAAGCAGGCATACCTTTTCACTGGTTTTAAGGTAATGAAACAGAGGCAGGAATCAGCAATGCCACATATGTATTTTTTGTAAAAGGAAGAAACCTGAGTTGATTCTTTGATTCATCAAATTTATTTTTAAAAACTTGTATATGCAAAGCATGTTACAGGGCTCCTTAAATCATAAAAAAAAGTATAATCAGATAGTACTGAGAAGAAATAAATTTACTTACTGATATGTGTTTGATAACATTGACCACTAGAGGCCCTTGGGGAGTCATGAAATAATTTTAACTTTTGTAATTACTTTTTTCTTTGTAGTTTTAGGATGTCATGGAAGTGTTCCCCTTGGGCTGCCCACTTTCCGGTCCCCTCCTGTCTCTTTCAGGAGCTGTCTCTCCCTCAATAAAATTTCCTACTCTTAAAAAACCAGAAGTGTTCCCCTTTTTAAAAATTAATGTCAGATACCAAATTGTCTAGAAAAACTCAAAGAAACTATGGACACAGTAGTCGTTTGCCATTTCTCCATCTGCCATTTCTCTTGAATTGATCAACAGTTCTAAGTTTTTATTGGAATAAAAGATGAGAGTGAACTGGGGCCTCAGTGTTGTGTGAGATTAATAATTTGGGCTATAAGAGCTGGTACTTTTGAAGATACTCTGTCAAGGCAGCCATTAAATGAACAAGTAAGGTTAACTGTGGAGCTGGAGTCTCTTTTCGAGGAAGGTGTTATTGGATCTTTAAAGAATATTTTCCTCTTCTTATTTTTTTTAAAAGGATAAAGATCACTAAAAATTTAAGGGTTGTCACACAACACAGGAACATACATTTGTAATCCCAGTTACCTAGGAGACAGAGGCAGGAGGATCACAAGTTTGGGATCAGTCTGGGCAATACAGTGATGCTGTATCCAAAGAGAAAAAGGTCTGGGTGTGGCTTAGTGGCAGAGCACCCATGGGTTGAATCCCCAGTATCCAAAAGGAAAGTGAGATGATTCTCTGGAATACAGAGTTTAGCTGATCCTCCAAATTTAAAAAAAAAAAAAAATCTTTAAAATTGGGTGTGGTGGCACATTCCTGTAATCCCAGTGGCTGAGGCAGGAGGATCACAGCAAGTCTGAGGCCAGCCTGGAATACACAACACAGTGAGACCCTGCTTCAACAAAAGAGAAACGTTTAAAATCGAATTTTCCAATTTTCTAGAACATACTGGAAAATTTTGACAAATCACTTGGCATGTATTAGGTTGTTGTTTGTTTGTTTGGGAACTTTTTATTTTTTTGGTACCAGGGATCAAACTCAGGACCTTGCACTTTCAAGGCAGGTGGTAGAACTGCTAAGCTAAATCCCTAGCCTTTATTAGGTTTTTAATGTTTTAAAATGTTATATCCTGCTATGCAGGATGGAAAAGGAAGAATTGTAAAGAGAAGTCAGGCTGAGAAGTCTAGGTGTGGCACTGTTTTTTTCATAAGTAAACTTGAATGTTGTATACGAGTTCAAAGCAAACACTTAGCAGCGGAGGAGGCCAAAGGACACTTTAATTTGAAAGAGGAAAATTACCCCTTTTTAGTAGTGAAATTGTAATCATACTATAGATGAGCGGGGATGGAGTACTGAGTCCTGGCGTGCTCTGCAGATCATCTGTGAACAGAGAGACAGCAGTCACGGTTAGGGTTAGACCGCCATGACCAGCACATTGGTGAGGATTCTGGGATGCAGGTCGGCCAGCACCAGAGCACTGGTATCAGAGTGCGTATGCCGGTCACCTGCCAGGACTACTTAGTGACCCCGGCGGGGCAGGGTCGCAGGTAAGTTTAAGCAGAGAACCTACACAATGAAAGATAGTGAAGCTGCCCTTGATTTTATGTATGGTTTTGATTTCTTTACATTTTTACTGAACACTCTATAGCAGTGGTGATGAACTTATGCTACGCATGTTGTTCTTTTAAAACAAAAGATATTAATGTATGAGCTGTTTTTGCTAAACTAAAAGGGCAGCATTCAGGCTTGCTTGCAGGGCTGGCATTCTGTGATAAGGAAGTGGGTTTGGGCCTCGTCTCCAAGGGGGTTGCCACCGCTCCCTGTAGTGTTCTGTTGTGTACTGAAGAACCACCTGTGTAAAGAGCACACTGTGACTAGCTGGTTAATTACAACCTATTGCTTTCAGCTGGCCACATCCAACGCCGTTCCAAAGACACTGCCTTTTATGGATCTCAGTCTTTTTGCCTTAAGAGCAGCAATTAGGGATGCTTATCTTGAGAACCCGGCAGAGATAAATAGGTCCATGTTTTGAAGCGAGTATAATCCTGGGCAAGAAAGGCAGATGGAACACAAATTAACTTTGCGTAGTTGTCCCTCAGAATCTGCGGGAGATTGGTTTCCTGCCCTCTCGTGGATGCCGAACTCTTCAGGTGCCCAGTCCTCCATATAAAACGGTGTAGAATTTACACCTCCCATATTTCTTCAATTGCAGATCATGCCGGATTACTTACAATACTCCACTCAAGGTGGCTGTATTATGTAAGTAGTTGTATTATTTAGAGACAAGACAGGAAAAAGTCTGTACATGTTCAGTGCAGATGTAATTTTGTTTGCATTGTGAATAGTTTTGGTCTGTGGCTGGTGGCATCTGTAGAACCCACCAAAAGGGAGAGTCCTGTGGACACTGCATTTTCCTTGGCTGGGTTTTAGTTTCCATGGAAACTGGAACCATCCAAGGTGGAGCATAGGGAAGTTAGAACACTGCCTTTTGACGTGTTTCAGTTTCTTTTTTGTTTTCTTTTGCAGTGCTGGGGATTGAATGCAAGGTCTTGCAGTGAGGGGCAAGCCCTTCACCCCTGTGCCACACCCTCAGCCCTTGGTTTGTTTTTCAACTGTGCCTTTTCCTTTTTGGTGTTTAGAAAAGCAACTGGACTTGGCTTCCGTGGATCTTTGGAAGATGAGAATAGCAGAGCTGAAACAGATTCTGAGCAGCTGGGGGGAAGAGTGCAGGGCCTGTGCGGAAAAAACTGACTACGTGAATCTGATCAAAGAACTGGCCCCCAAATATGCAGCAGTGCACCCCAAAACAGATCTGTGACTTGACTGCTGGAACATGGATTATAGCTGAAGAGAGAAGGACGCGCAGGATGTGAGCAGGTTGGGTCAGCATGCGCTGGGCCTCTGCCTTTTCATCTTAGTGTTGTAGCTCAGAATTTTGTTCGGGTTTTGAGGAATGGGATGACTATTACTGCTACTTTACATTTGCTGTGCACTAAAATCTAACAGTGCCTTTCTCATAATTTTCTTGTAGGGACTATGTGAGTTAGTACTGCCTAGCTCCTAAAATTGCTGAGAGTGAATTATTGAAAATTGACGGAGTAAACCGATTCTAAGAGTGAGGACAATGTTCACAAACTCCTCGTTTATACAGTTTTAAAATTAAGTACATTGGACAAAGACAAAAGAAACAATAGTTAGCTTATTTAAATAATTACTTAATATAATAAAAAGGTTTTTTAAAAATAAACTTTCTGCCAGGCATGGTGGTAAATGCCTGTAATCCCAGCATTTAGGGGGCTGAGGCGGGAGGATCACAGGTTGGAGCAACTCAGTGACCTATCAAGGCCTTGTCTCAAAAAATAATAAGAGCTGGGATGAAGCTCAGTGCAAAGGCCCTGGGTTAATCTCTAGTACTCAAAAAACAAAAAACCTAAGACAGTCATTGTAGAGGGCTCGTCTCTGTGCGGTAAGTGGAGGCAGGGATGATCCAGAGCCATGTTCCCTTGGAACTTTATGGAGTAGTGGGAACGCCCTAACTAGAGTGGGTGGGGATAAATGCACCTGTCATACTCATCTAGGAGTACAGTTAAAAGGTGGACATTTTATTGTATGTAAATCATCTAAAATATTTCTGGAAAGTTATTGGAAAATTACGGAAGTTGACCGATTCAAAACACCTTGTTTGTTTAAAGGATTGACTGCACGGACTGGGAATCCATCGTGGGAGTGCAGAAAGGCTTTCCAGACTATAAGTGCATATTGACAGCACTGTATAATGTTCCCTTTTAGCAGGGTGTGGCTAAATCTTGCTTGTAATCTCAGCCCTTGACAGGCTGAGCTAGGAGGATTGTGAGTTCGAGGCCAGCCTAGTCAATTTAGAGAGAACCATTCTCAAAGAAAGATATTTTACTTTTCAGTGCTGTGGAGGTGAATGAATTTTCAGCTGGGAAGTTAGGACGCAAGCGAACTTGTCAGAAAATAAGGGTTCTGAAGGACACGATGCGTATTACGGTATATAACTGATAAACGAGAATAAAAGCTTTGCTGTAACCGATGGCCCAAAGTAGTTATTGTTTGTGGGTTCTGGCCCCTTGGTCATTATGTGTAAAGCACCTACTTTATTTTGAATTATATCTTTAAAAAGCCCCAAGTTAGTTTTCTCTTAAACTTCATGTAACCTTTCTGTTTTCATTTTTGCATTTTGAATGTACCAAGACACTTGTCATTTGAAAATAATAGGTTAGCTGTCCAATCTCAAAATCGGGCCATATTTCTATGTCGTCCTTTTTTTCAGTTCATAAATCTAGGCAATGGGAACACTGCCTGGCGGTTATTCAACAGTGACGGTTAGTCTGGTTTTCAAAGGGAAGGTACATCAGTGCTTCTCAAATGCCTTAAGTTGCACATAGACGAACAGGCTGGTGGGAGGCTGTCGCTGTGCAGATTCTGACTGTGTGGCTGTGGGGGTCCCAGAAGATGTCTGTGCCACGCCTTCAGGAGCCACCGCCTTGGGCAGCAAGGTGGTGGGTCCTGAGACACCCTTGGCCTCTGGCCAGTCTCACTCAGGCTTCAGGCAGCAACACCAAAGCAGCTTCTCCACAGAATACGACTGCCTCAGTACCCTCGTACTCCATGAGGCCACCCAGGGCTCAGCGCTGGCTCTCTGCTTCACCCCCAAGGCAGGCTGTGTTCTGGATCCAGCCCAAGCTGGTGGCTGGGATTCCTCGCTCCAGGAGGGAGCAGGCAGGAGAGGGGCTGCTGCTAACCGGCACCGCACTGCCACCCAGAGCACAATAGCCTGCCACACTAGCTGCCAGGATCTGGGGAGTGACGTCTCAGGGCGGGATCGTTGCTGCCCAGAAGAATCATGGTGGTTTAGTGAGGAGGAGGTGGAGACAGTCTGTGACCACAACCATCTCGGCCACATAGTGCACATTTTTCCTTCCCGTGAATCTTGGGCTGTCCTACCTTACATAAAAAGCCTTCTTCCTCCTTGCCATGTGTGTCTTTCAGACACAGGGGCGTGATGCTTTCCTTCTTTTTCTGTCTTGACAAGAAGTAGCTCCTGTTCTCCTACTTTGTTTTCATTTCAAATCTTGTCTGCCTTCACTGAGCACTTGTTTGTTTATGCACTTTTTCAGGGTTTTTACCTCAAGTCCATAAGTAGAGAGGATTTAGAAGCCAGACATTCTGACAAAAGTAACAAAAGTAATAATAATAATAATAATAAAGAAACAACGAAGAACACCACCATGTAAACGGTAGGTATTCTGGGACAGACAGTATTCTGGATCCAGTCTAGATTCCAGAAATTTCAAACAGGAGACCCTTTAATTAGGTTTCTATATAAGCATGGGAGACAGTATAACATTAACAGCACAATTGAGAAGTTGTAGTTCTTGATCTCAGTGTGGATAATTTGTAATCCACTTTCCACTAAAGTTTTAAATTTAGACCAAATTAGCTTGGCCTATAAAGTAAGGAAATAATTATAGCTCTATAAAAAAGGTAGGGAATTTTGTGATTCAAAGTTCCTATCTAGGGGCTTGCATAGCTCTTGATGCAGAGTCTTAGTAAGCAGAGATCTGAGAATTTTCCTCCTGAATCTTATTCAAAAGAAGCAATTGTCAGGCAGCCACTATTTCACAACATGTTTGAAGTACAACAGTTCCACCCAAAGGAAAATCTTCTTGGATATGGTATCGTTATTTATTTATTTATTTATTTTGGAGACACACTCTTACCATGTAGTTGAGACTGACCTGGAACTCACTATGTAGCCCAGGCTGGTCTCGAACTCACAGCGATCCTCCTGTCTCAGCCTCCCGAGTGCTGGGATTACAGGCGTGCGCCACCATGCCCGGCACTATCATTTTGAATTTAGGAACTTTTTTATGAATATCATTTATTTTCATTGTTTTCTCTTTTGTTTCCATATGGGGATTTAAAATTTGTAGTATCAATAAAAGATTACAATTCGAAGAAACTTAACTGCATCATTATTATTCTTCACAAAATATTTTTTTTCTAGTAATACAAAACATATAAACTCTCCAAGACCAGGCTGTGCCTAGACCAGTTTCTTCCAGTGGTAGGAGGGAGAAAGAGTCCCGGGTATTTTAAAGCTTTCCAGGTCATTTCAATGGGGAGCCAAACTTGCAAGCCATTGTCCTAAGTCCTCTGTGTGGACCTCTGACAGCTGCCTGCCAAGGTCTCAGTGACCTGATGCGGGAGAATCAGCCTGTACAGTGTGGTTTTCAAAAAGCTTGGGGTTCACCTTTGAAAGCTAACAGACCTGGAGTGGTGAGTGGTGCACACACTGTGGACATATCTGCCTGCGAAGATACTCTAAATACACCATGCATACCGACTAACAGGTGGATTAGCTACAATGAGAACAGAAGAAAAAGAAAGAAAAGACACAAAGACAGGACTCAGGCTCACAGTCCATTGCCAAGTTCTGTGCCACAGGACATTCTGAAGAAAAGTGTTGGAAAGGTGTGATACCATGCACACGTACCCACCCCACCCAGCCAGGGCCGTGAAGCGTGTGAGGGGTCTGAAACGCTGTCTGATGAATCTGGGTCAGAAGAATTATGTCACATTAAGCTTTCCTGTCAAATGAGTTATACAGATGGACTTACAGTTTTCCAAACTTTTGGATGTCAGCATCTTGACTGAGTGATTGTGCATGACTCTGGCCTAAGTGTTATTATCATTAAGGAACAGACAGTATTCTGGATCCAGTCTAGATTCCAGAAATTTCAAACAGGAGACCCTTTAATTAGGTTTCTATATAAGCATGGGAGACAGTATAACATTAACAGCACAATTGAGAAGTTGTAGTTCTTGATCTCAGTGTGGATAATTTGTAATCCACTTTCCACTAAAGTTTTAAATTTAGACCAAATTAGCTTGGCCTATAAAGTAAGGAAATAATTATAGCTCTATAAAAAAGGTAGGGAATTTTGTGATTCAAAGTTCCTATCTAGGGGCTTGCATAGCTCTTGATGCAGAGTCTTAGTAAGCAGAGATCTGAGAATTTTCCTCCTGAATCTTATTCAAAAGAAGCAATTGTCAGGCAGCCACTATTTCACAACATGTTTGAAGTACAACAGTTCCACCCAAAGGAAAATCTTCTTGGATATGGTATCGTTATTTATTTATTTATTTATTTTGGAGACACACTCTTACCATGTAGTTGAGACTGACCTGGAACTCACTATGTAGCCCAGGCTGGTCTCGAACTCACAGCGATCCTCCTGTCTCAGCCTCCCGAGTGCTGGGATTACAGGCGTGCGCCACCATGCCCGGCACTATCATTTTGAATTTAGGAACTTTTTTATGAATATCATTTATTTTCATTGTTTTCTCTTTTGTTTCCATATGGGGATTTAAAATTTGTAGTATCAATAAAAGATTACAATTCGAAGAAACTTAACTGCATCATTATTATTCTTCACAAAATATTTTTTTTCTAGTAATACAAAACATATAAACTCTCCAAGACCAGGCTGTGCCTAGACCAGTTTCTTCCAGTGGTAGGAGGGAGAAAGAGTCCCGGGTATTTTAAAGCTTTCCAGGTCATTTCAATGGGGAGCCAAACTTGCAAGCCATTGTCCTAAGTCCTCTGTGTGGACCTCTGACAGCTGCCTGCCAAGGTCTCAGTGACCTGATGCGGGAGAATCAGCCTGTACAGTGTGGTTTTCAAAAAGCTTGGGGTTCACCTTTGAAAGCTAACAGACCTGGAGTGGTGAGTGGTGCACACACTGTGGACATATCTGCCTGCGAAGATACTCTAAATACACCATGCATACCGACTAACAGGTGGATTAGCTACAATGAGAACAGAAGAAAAAGAAAGAAAAGACACAAAGACAGGACTCAGGCTCACAGTCCATTGCCAAGTTCTGTGCCACAGGACATTCTGAAGAAAAGTGTTGGAAAGGTGTGATACCATGCACACGTACCCACCCCACCCAGCCAGGGCCGTGAAGCGTGTGAGGGGTCTGAAACGCTGTCTGATGAATCTGGGTCAGAAGAATTATGTCACATTAAGCTTTCCTGTCAAATGAGTTATACAGATGGACTTACAGTTTTCCAAACTTTTGGATGTCAGCATCTTGACTGAGTGATTGTGCATGACTCTGGCCTAAGTGTTATTATCATTAAGGAAGACATTGGGCCTTGTTTTCCAAA